CTTGCAAGTACAACTGGGTTCTTATTAAGACTTATGAAGGTTCTCTCTACCTTCTAATGCTTCTAGAGAAGTCTTTAGACAGTATCTCTATGTTCTTTCGCTGTTAGAAAGCTCATAACTTTGTCCCATGTGCAAGCCGCCATCTTGTTTGCCGTGACCACACCTACTTACGTAGCGTGGGCGGGTAGTTGCTAAGGCTTATTATTTCTCCAATACAACGTGTATAGAAGAAATGTAAGTGTGGACATACAAATATATATATATCGCACGTGGGTGAAATCAATTATAGGAACGACCTGGGGGCTTCGCCCCCAGGTCGTAAAAACATTAGCCCTCATACATAACTATAACTACCATTAACTACAATGCTAATAACTATTAATAACTATTAATAACTCACAAGTTAAGGAACATGAGGTAATCATAATTAGATATTTCTCCAGTTTGCCACTTCTGAGTAGCATCAGTCAGATCAGGAACCTGTAGGGACACACCCTTCACCCCCACCAACTTATCATAGAGACTGTTCCTCTTTGATGTGGAGGAGAGGACCAGAAATATACTCTGACCCCCTCGGGAGAATAATTCCAGACCCTATGGGACAATATAAACTAACTGGTGAATGGAGAAATGTTTAAAATTTCATTTATTAATTAAATAGAGGAGTGACGTACATGTACATGTACAAATTGACATGTATAGTTTCATACCATGTACCGGTTTAATTTGCGGTAAAAATTTTTCACAAACCTTGCATTTCTAAAATTTTACGGAATTAATTTTTGTGAATAGCTTGCAGACTTTACCAAATCGCAATGGAGACGTAGAATTTTGTGGTGAAAAAAATTTGTGACGAAGAAAAAAAATTGGAAAAAATATTTCTCTATGAAAATAAACTGGTATATGTATTTATATTAATATTAATTTTATACAGTGTAGCCTCTACACTAAGAATACCCTATAAAACTATCACACACAATTAAAAGTGAATTTGATGTTTTATTAGGCACAACCATTTAGTACATGTATAATCAAATTTGTGATCTACATTGTACATGTGTAAATTGTAAGAGATGGTATTTTGTCATTGGGTGTGGTCTCGTCCTGGTAGGTGTGGCTTACCACATGTCGTAACATGTATCGTCTCTTCATGGCATGAGTGAGGGAGGAGAGCTCCATCTTAACCACCGGGTCCTGTAATATTAACAATAGTGATAGGAACCATAACCAACCAAAATTAACATTAATTACACACAGAATAAAATTACACTAAAAACTACATGTACACATGTATAATAATAAAATAATAATTAATAATATTACATGTACCTGTACTTACCACTTCAACATTGTTGAAAGGTTGAAAGTAAATCCTTGAAGAAGTTAACATTATCCTACCAGGATTGGACACCAATGGAGTAATACGATCACCTGTAAACAAATAACAACAACAACAACAACAACAATAATAACAATAACAACAATAATAATAATAATAATAATAATAATAATAATAGGTTTCTCTTACCTT